TCCAATCGGGGGGCGCAGGGCCGGCCATTGCCGGGGTGGTTGCTCACCTGGAAATGCCGCCCCTGGAAACGTGCCGCCCCAAGCACGCGCTTGATTTGCTGGTGCCTAGAGCTGGCCCTGCTTCCTGCCCCTGTCCCCCCGGTCGTCCTGCTCCCCATGGCCCTTTGGAGCCACCGGGGGTCCATCCTGCCCCCCTGCACAGTGACTCCAGCACGGGTGCTGCACCAGAAGCAGCTGCAGCCCTGAGATGCCTGATTGGGGAATTGTTACTTTCACGCCCACTCCCCCTTCTGGCCCTCGTGCCTGTGATCTCTCTGCCCTTTGCCCCTCCTGTTCCCCCTCCCCCGGTGTCTCCCCCCAGCCACTCCCCATTTCCTGCGCTGGTGTCACCCCCTTGACCTCCTTCTCGTTACAGGGCCCTGGCTGAGCTAATGCCTGAAAGCTGCCATTGCTCTTCTGGGCTGCAGTGTTGGCCCTGCCCGCTTTGGGTTCTGAGCCCCCCGGGATCCCTGCACCCACAAGGTATCCTACGCCGCCAAGTGGAAGCCCTGAGGTCAGCAGTGGGCACTGGGTGCCGACCCAGCTGGCCAACCTCTGCTCAGCCTGCAGCTAATGCCCAGCTTGGATCCCACTGCTGCCACCAATTTGGATGCATGCACCTCCTGCTAGCTGAAGAGGAGCCATGGCTGCCCCTGGCTCCACCCCCTGGTGACCCGCTGCTCAGCAACCCTTGCGCCACTCAGAGCCCCCGTCTCCTTTCAGCATTGTCGGGGATTGCCAGTGTCAATCTTTCCCATTTCTTGGCTTTTTCCAAACAATAGAGGGGTCCCACTATCAACAGCCCCCCCATACCTGATAGGTGGCTGCACTGACCTTGCTCTGCATGAGCCAGCCAGTGTAAGCCAAGTCCTCGCTACCCTGAGTTCAGCTTTGGGACAGACAGACAGACAGGATCTTTGGGTGTCCAAACACAACCCCCTTTGGTCGACATGGCAGATTTCTCATTAGAGCGTGCCGAGTGTCAACGGCAGCCCAGGCATTCGCACCAACGACTGATTCGCACCAGCGATTGATTCGCACCAACGATTGATTTGCATTGTGCCCAGATGCCAGCTGGGCAGACGTTTCCCAGCCGGACAGACTCTGTGCCGTGTGTTGTGAAGTCATTGCCTTCACGGGTACACGTTTAACCGTTTAATCGATGAGCTGATGCTTATTGTGTTTTAAACAATTAAACTCACCATTCGGGGCCCCACCGGTAGCGAAGAGCCCGCTGGGAGCAGGGCTGGCTGCCACACCTGGGAGGGGGCGGAGCTACATCCATGAAAACGTTTAACCGTTAACCGATAGAATTTTGACCTGTTACATGGTTAACATTTTTCTATATAATTTTACATCCCTCCCCTGCATCAGCCCCTTTGAAGTGCTCCTGCCCTGGGACTGTGCTGGCCCATATCCCTACTTCGGCCGTGCCGCGGCTGAGAAGGTAGCCACCGCGTGGGTCTGATCAGCGGCCCCTGATTGCCTGGCGCTGTGGGCAGTAGGGAGTTTACGAGCCAGTGGGCTGCGGTCGTTTGAAAATCCCACTAGATACCTATCTGCATTCGCAGACGCCCGTATAGCTTTAAACCTTTATCCCGTAATGCTCTCTGAATGCCAGCGTGAGCCAGGCACCTAACTCACTTACACACGCTCGTGCATCCCATGAGGCACCTCTGTGGATTTGCCAGTGCCTCACACGTTTGCAAATCTGCCCTTTTTCCTTTCTTCCTGTGTGCCGATAGAGGAGAATATTCTTTTCGACCTCACACGGGAGCAGGGAGGAGAAATTCTTTTAAGATTCTGGTGTGCCCGGAGATAGTGGTGGTAGGATACCGGTACATGGCCAAGGTAGGACCTCATCAACACTTGGTCGTAACTCGATCTGTTCGTAGGTTGGACCCCATTCATTTACATGTGACCGCGCTGTACGTAAGTGCGGATCGCGTTCGTAACTTGGGGACCGGCTTGTAATGCGCCTAATGGGAGGTTGGTCATAAGTACGAACGGCCGCAAGTCAACGCGTTCATAACTCAGAGACTACCTGCATCTCATCAAATGTACAGAGATGCCGAGGTCAACAGTTTTACCGTCTGCCGGCTTTTCCTTGGAGGTTCGATGTTCTCCGTCATTAAAGGGATTGTTCGTACACTCTTTGGTGGCCTTACAAGAAACGGTCCCTTCCCGCTCATTTTAAATTCCCAGCAGCAGAAATGCCAAGGGAAATCTCATCCTGTTCTAGAAAGGAACATTTCTGTTGGATCATTAACGATCGGAACGAGTCGTTTGCTCTTTCATAAAAAAGGCAAGGCCGACGAGTCCATCCAGACAACCCATCTGAAGACGCCTTGGGAAGATGCCTGTCGATCTGGATTCTCATACATCCTAGGTGAGTGCAGAAAACTTACGAGGGAGCAAGAAATATTTTAGGTACCCAAGTCTAGACGGGGTTCCCAGCTGACTCTAAACCAGAGCCCAGTGTCCCCCTACATAGCCCTGTAGTCTAGATACACCCTACATGTACATGCTATTGAGAGAGTTTGAGTGAATATCAAATCTCCTCTCCCTGCCTTGTGGTAAAATTAATTGAAGTGTTTGGAAGATGCCAGCCCAGAAAACTATTGAAGGTGAAGAGGTTTCGACATCCTCTCCTGCTATGAAGTGTAAACTTGTTGGGAAGTTTGTGACTTGAGAGTGGTGGGCTACAAACTGTTCTCTGATCAACCTATAATCTTGGGCAGTGATTTTTTTTGTAAGAAATAAGGTGCTGGTACTCCAGGCTTAAACTTGTTGAGCAAAAAAAAACCAACTGTTTTTTAGAGGGGCTGAAATGCACTCATGGCCCCTTTAAGAGAGCCAAAAAAAAAAGCCTCTTGTCAGCAACAGGCTTCCATCAGGAGATAGGCCACCTCAGGAAAACGGGTGCCGGTATGCACGGGGAAAATGCCATTCCTTTTCTGTGTGCTGGGAAAATAGGTGACGGTACTCCATTCTGGTCTGTACCATCACAAAAAAGAATAGTGATAGAGATGTAGCGGTGTTCGTCTGGTCTAGCTGAAACAAAAGACAGGACTATGTAGCTTTTTAAAGACTAACAAGATGGTTTATTAGGTGATGAGCTTTCGTGGGCCAGACCCACTTCCTCAGATCGATTGATGTGAGGAAGTGGGTCTGGCCCACGAAATATCATCACCTAATAAACCATCTTGTTAGTCTTTAAAGTGCTACATAGTCCTGTCTTTTGTTTCATCACAAAAAAAGCACTGATCTTGAGATGGTTTCTTTTTGCGATGTGGGGTTATTTCTTTTTGCAAAAAGTTCAGACACTGAACAGTAGATCCCGCCAAAAACATTTCAATTTCAGACAAAAATTTCAAAGGAAAATATTATTTTTGTCAACACCTTAATTTTTTGTGGTTTTGACAAAAACCGGAATACCGAAGAATGGATTGTGCTTGGTTCTCAAAATCCAAAAAAAATCATTTTATATTTTTAGAAAGCTGGCAAAAATTGGTATTTTTTTTCCAAAGAAAACTTTAATAGTTTCAATGAAAATGATTATTCTCCTTTCCATCAGTTAGCCATTTTTCATCCCACAACAGAACAAAAAAACACCCAAAGTCCAATCACAACTTGTCAGTTTTCCACTTCCCCGGTACATTTAATGCATCTGTTAGAATCTGTGATGTAAGTCTTAAGCTATGTCGAGACTGCACGCCTTTTTCAACAGAGGTTTTGTCAACAGATACTGTCAACAAAGCCTCTGTCGACAAAGAGCATCTAGACTACAGCCAGTTCTGTGGAAAAAGCAAGCCGCTTTTTCAAAAGAGAGGGTAGACACACTTTCAAAAAAGCAGTTTGCATGCAATAGTGCCTTTTTACGACAGAACTCTGTTGAAGAAAAGCATTATTCCTTGTAAAACGAGGTTTACCACTGTCGACAGAACTGCCGCATTCTGACAACTTACTGTCGACAGAACGCGGTGGTAGTGTAGACGCAGGTCCATAAAAGGCTGTTAGCCAGGGGATAAAATGGTGTCCCTGGCCTCTGTCAGAGGCTGGAGAGGGATGGCAGGAGACAAATGGCTTGATCATTGTCTTCGGTCCAGCCTCTCTGGGGCCCGTGGTACTGGCCACTGTTGGCAGACAGGATACTGGGCTAGATGGACCTTTGGTCTGACCCAGTACGGCCGGTCTTATGTTCTTATGTAGGTATAGGTTTGTCGACACAACACTGTAGTCTAGACACACCCATAGCAACCTGGCAGGCAGTAATTTACAGTGGGCTTTCGACTCCTTATTTCAGAAGAATTGTCCTATTGGTGGGCTGGAGGATTTAGCGGGCTAGCTCACCTTCGTGTGTGTGATGGCGCGTTGGGGGTCCCCCATCTCCTGCACCCCGAAATGGCACAAACAGACTGCACCAGCCGGTGGAATGGAGGAAGTTTATTGCCTCTCCAGGATACAGCACAGCACAGATGGAATCTGGTCGCAGAGCTGGGCTAGGATGCCTCAGGCCCCCTTGAGATGGGGGAGACTGGGCCCCTAAACTCCAGCCCCTTTCCCTAGGCTCTCCTCCATGCTCCCAGCCAGCCACTACCCAACACTCTTCCATCCCTGCCCCCCCAGCCAGGGCAGCATCCACCTTCCTTTGTTCCTCTCCATGGGGGGTGTCTGGCCATACCGGTTGAGAGGTCCCTTTGCATAGTGACTCATCCTGTTTTGCTGGGTTGTGGTACCCACGGCAGCCAGTGGGGGTTACCCGAGAGCCAGCAGCATAGAAACCAGCCAGGTACCCCCACTACGTCACAGTGTGTTTATGTGTTGCGTGTACTATACAAAAATGACTTAGTGCTTTTGAAAATGTTTTGAAACTCAGGACATTAGGCACGGTGAAAAATGTTACCTGTTAAATCCCAGCCGAAGTGAACAAGTGTGATTTAGCTTCTTGGCCCTTTGAGCTATCATGGAAGAATCTAATGCCCAAGAAAAAATAAGCCGGTAAGAAAGCATTTTTCTCAGCTAAAATATATATTATCTTGATCCCAGTTAGTTTGGTGCTTGGAAACCGATTTGGAAATGTGGAAGTATTCAGCTAGAAGGCTGGGGTTCAAATGTCAATGTCTTGATCTTTAAGAAAGGGGTCAGAAAAGGGCAACTAAAATGATGAGGGGTTTGGAACAGGTCCCGTATGAGGAGAGGTTAAAGCAACTGGGACTTTTCAGTTTAGAAAAGAGGAGACTGAGGGGGGATATGATAGAGGTCTATAAAATCATGAGTGGTGTGGAGAGGGCCAATAAAGAAAAGTTATTTATTAGTTCCCATAATAGAAGAACTAGAGGACACCAAATGAAATTAATGGGTAGCAGGTTTAAAACTAATAAAAGAAAGTTCTTCACACAGCGGCGTGTTGTCAACCTGTGGAACTCCTTGCCAGAGGAGGCTGTGAAGGCTAGGACTATAACAGAGTTTAAAGAGAAGCTAGATAATTTCACGGAGGTTAGGTACATAAAAGGCTATTAGCCAGGGGGTAGAAATGGTGTCCTTGGCCTCTGTTTGTCAGAGGCCGGAGAGGGATGGCAGGAGACAAATGGCTTGATCATTGTCTTCGGTCCACCCTCTCTGGGGCACCTGGTGCTGGCCACTGTTGGCAGACAGGATACTGGGCTAGATGGACCTTTGGTCTGACCCAGTACGGCCGTTCTTATGTTCTTATGTAAGGATGACAAGGCTATTTGGTACTTCTGCTTGACGTTCGTACTATTGTATATTTTTACTAGTAGGCTGACTGAGGAATTTGGAGGCCAGGAAATCTTACTGAAGCCGACAAAGTCGAAGTGAGAGCGATCGTTTGCTAGACAGAATGGTTTAAATCTCGGCTCTTTCATTTCTCAATGCCATGGGCCAGATCTCCACATGCTACTGCGGTCAACGGGTCGGATCCCCCGCTGGTGAAAGCTGGTGTAGCTCTTGAAAGTTCTTGGGTTATACAATAGTTGACGTTATGGGCAATGTCCCCTCTAATCTTTTTCATGCATGTGAGGATTTTTTCCATCCATGTGTGGAATAATATTTGTGCACCAAGGCATGGGAGAATGTGCACCACCAAGAGAAACAAAACAAACTAGCTGTGGGCACTCTGCTAATCATGTGGGCGGCATTTGAATTTCTCTTAAGTGTTCACACCAGCGCACAACTTCCAGGAACACTGGAGAAGAGGTCAGACTCTCAAAGGAGTTTATGGGGGCCCCCAGATGCATACAGGTGCATAGTGCAATTTTCAAAAGGCTCAGCCAGCTTTGAAAATTCCACTAAAGGGCGAGAATCAGAAAGGTACTTTGGTGACATTGCCAAAGTGTCTACATTTTAGGCACCTGGAAAACCAGTAGGATAGGTGTGGGGCAGAAATGTCGGCACCTGGGGGAGTTTTACAAGTGAAGTGTCAGCCCTAAAGAAGTGTAGGCACCTGCAGAGGTTGGGACCTTCTGAGCAGCAATTTTGTGTCTCTCAATAGGCCCTGATTCTGGGATTTAAGGGCCTAAAGTAGCAATTAAGCAACTGCTACTGATTGCGACTCAAGGCCTCGGCCCCTAAATAATTTTGAAAATCAGGCCCGGGTTGCTTAAAAAAGGAAGCTGCCCTTCATTCAGAAATGGCTTTGGATTCCATCCAAATAACTACTCCTGAATAGTTAGAAAAACTTGGTGTTTGCATGCAGCACACAGTTAACCTGTGGAACTCCTTGCTGGAGGATGTTGTGAAGACCAGGACTTCCAAAAGAGCTAGCTAAATTCATGAAGGTTAGGTCCCTCAGTGGCTATTAGCCAGGATGGGTAGGAATGGTGTTCCTAGCCTCTGTTTCTCTGGAGGTGGGTGACAGGGAAGGGATCATGTGAGGATTACCTTTTCTCTTCACTCCTTCTGGGACATCTGGTATCGGGCACTGTCGGCAGACAGGATACTGTGCTAGATGGACTTTTGGTCTCACCCAGCATGGTCGTTCTCATGTTTTGTTTCAGAGATCCACTTGCTGGAGCCCAATTGGACCCGTGAGACCACGTTTAGAGTTGCAAGCAATGGAGATTCCACCAGTTGTATCAAGACGGTTTGCGGCGAATGAAATGTCAAGTCGTTTTGAAGCCTCCAGCCTCAGCAGCACCAGAAAACCGTTCACCGTCTCGAGGATCCACTGAAACATAACATTAGTCGTGAGTGGGAGAAGGGGAGTTTCAACTGGTGTCTTTTAAATGATAGATGCGGTATGAATGTTCTACGTCATCCAGTAACGTTGGAGGGGTTTTGCTTCATTTTCCGTAGGGCCTATTCATGGAAAACAGAGTGCAGGGAAACCAGACGGTGGTTGAATTCCTCCTCTTGGGTTTTGGCCATCTCCCTGACCTGCAGCCCCTCCTCTTCCTGCTGTTCCTCATGATCTACTTGGCGACCATGGCTGGGAACCTCCTCATCGTGGTGCTGGTGGTGGCCGATCGGCACCTTCACACCCCCATGTACTTCTTCCTGGGCAATCTGGCCTGCTTGGAGATCTGCTACAGCTCCGCCCTCCTGCCCCGGCTGCTGGCCGGGCTCCTGACCGGGGACAGGAGCGTCTCTGTGCAGGGCTGCCTGGTGCAATTTTATTTCTTCGGTGCTCTGGTGGGCACAGAATGTTTCCTCTTATCCGTGATGTCGTACGATCGGTACGTGGCGATATGCCACCCCCTGCGCTACGCACTCCTCATGAACGGTCGGTTCTGCCTCCATCTTGCAGTTGGGTCTTGGATGAGCGGGTTCCTGGCCATGATCATTATAATACTATCGATGGCACAGTTGACTTTTTGCGGCCCGAGAGAGATAGACAGCTTCTTTTGTGACTTCATCCCGATACTACAGCTCTCCTGCAGTGATCTCCGCGTGACGAAGGCGGTGGCTTTCATCGGTTCTTCCGTGTTCTCCGCCGTCCCGTTCGTTTTAACTCTCACGTCCTACATGTGCATCATCGCCACCATCCTGAGGATCCCATCCACCGCTGGGAAGCAAAAGGCCTTCTCCACCTGCTCTTCCCACCTCATCGTGGTGAGCATTTACTATGGGACACTCATTGTCGCCTACATGCAACCCAACACCGACGCCCTGCGTGACCTGAACAAAGTGTTCTCCGTCTTCTACACGGTTGTGACCCCTCTGGTCAACCCCCTCGTCTACAGCCTGAGAAACGCAGAGGTCAAGGAGGCCCTGAGGAAAGCGCAATGGAAATGCGTAACTTTAGTAAGCAATGAGGAATGTAGGGGGCCTTCGAGAGGTCATCTTGTCCAACCACCTGTGTGGAGGCCAGAAAACCAAGGTCACCCCTGGCAAATGATTGCTCAGTCTCTTCCTAAAAATCTCCAGTGAGGGGAATCCCACAAGCTCCCTTAGAAGTTAGTTCCAGACCTTAACTCTAATTATCGCTACCTGGCTCAGGTCCTTAACTGTAGTACAGTAAAACCTTTGTTATCCGGCACTCTGTTAACCAGAAAACATTGTTAACCCGCATTGCCCCCAGCCACAACACTGTCACATCGTCAGGCACACAGGCCGGGCTGGGTTTATCACGATTGGCTTAACAATTTTTTATTTAAGACGTATTAATCATCTTTAACTCAAAACAGACATGAGAGAGTGACTGCCTCCCACTACAGAACTACCAACATTAAAAACGTGAGTTTTACTATTTTCAGAGTTGTTGACTCGAGTCCCACGACTTGAACTCGAGTCTGACGTAAGTCGCCGAGGTGACTCGACTTGAGACTCGACTCGGGTTCATTGTTTGTGACTTGAGACTCAACTTGCTAATTTTGTTAAATCGACTAGGTGAAAAAACCGTCCGAAAATGCCGATATCGATGGCTTGTACAAAAGTGACTTGACATTTTTTAAATTAAGACTTGAGACTAGACTTGGGACTTGACTTGAAAGTGACTTTAGGGACTTGAGACTCGACTTGAGACTTGAACTGTAGTAACTTGAGACTCGACTTGGACTTGACAATGATGACTTGAAGACAACACTGACTATTATTGTCCATTGGTTTTCCCTAGGTTGATGGGACCCTCAGATAACCAGAATTTTTAGAGAACCGGAACGCCCTAATCCCCAAGTGCGCTGGATAACACAGGTTTTACTGTAATTTTTTTATGGAGAATTAAAAGGAAAATGCACAGGCTTTCTTTAAAGGGTTGTATAGCGCAAGGGGTTGGGAGATGTGTATTGGGGTGAGGGAACGCTCATGGCAGGGGATGCACGATGCAAAAGTCAAAGCCGGGAGTTGGTTGTGGGGGATTCAGGGCACAGGGTTGGGGTGTAGAAGTCAGGGCTGTAGTAAGTTGAGGGTCGGTAACACGGAGTCAGCAGGCTTGAATAAAGGCCCGTAACACAAAAACAGCAACAGGCCTGGATTCTAGTGAGCAACACTTTGGCTCAGTGACACAGCAGCCTAGAAAGAGGCTCTATTGATAACTGTGTGTGTGTGTAAGGTAGGTCGAGCATGGAAGGACATCGGGAGGCACCGGTTACAGATCGTGAGCCAGAGTAGCAGAACATCTCAATGAGAAACATCTTGGTATCAAAGACTCCCCAAAAACTAACGTACCTACCGACCTACGTTCAGGGCTGGGTCAAAGTTGACAGCACGAAGGATAGTAAGGGCTCCCCCCTTCCCTAAGGTGAGGGAACTAGGTAACAGAGGGTGGGGACCGGGTACGTAAAGACGTGATGTAAGTTGTTTGTCCATGTCTATAAAAGGGCACCACAAACCGACCGGGAGGGGGGCGGGGGGTGGTGCACTAGGAACCTGGAACGGCAGGTGTCATCGCCAAGACTTACACAACACACAGTGGCTTGGAAAATAAATCCTTTTTGACAGATCCTCAAAAAAAGAGGTATAAATCCCGGCTTCATTAGCAATTTCGACGTGCTTGATTGGCATCCCTCTGGCGACCGAGGGATGCAGTCCAGACGTAGCCATGGAGAACAACGGAGCCCTCTTCTTGTTGGCACGGCCCTTACCCTATCTGCAGCCTGCTATCAGATCCACCCGCCCCCGGCCGGGCCTTTTTCCCCAGACTGAACACGTCAGGGTTTTTAACCTTTACAGACACGCTGAAGCTTTCGCCGCTTTTGTTGCTGTCCGTTGGGCTCTCTGCATTTGGCCCACAACCTTCCTGAAATCCAGAGAGTCCACGAAAACGTCTTTAACGGGGTAGGGGGCGGTGCCTCCTGCTCGGTATGTTCGCCAACCCCGCCCCCGTTTGCGGGGGAGACAGACCCGACTGCCATGGCCACGCCAGTCCCTGGGGGTAGGTAAGCTGGGGAGGGGAGGGCTGGGGGCTGCACCAGACCCGGCCTCTGGGAAGGGGAGACAGTAGACAAGGCAGTTGGGAAGGGCCGGGGTTGAACCAAACCCAGCCTCTCGGCCACATGGGCCGCTGGGGAGGGGTGGACTGACCTTTGGTCTGACCCTATGTGGAAATTCCTAGGGGTACGTCTACACTGCGACGTTAATTCAAAGTGACAGCCCTTATTTCAATAGCGTCTATACATTCTACGAGGAGTCACGTCAAATTCGAAATAGCTATTTGGAATTAAGTGCTGTGTAGACACGTAATTCGAAATAGGGGGCCTCCAGCCCTTCCCAGGGAGCCCTGGTGGCCACTCTGGGCACAACCAGGAAAACTTACTCTCCTCTCCCCCAGCCCCGGAGCCATTAAAGGGGTAGACCCTGGCCACAGTGCCTGTGCCAGCTCCAAGCCTGCCAGCCCAGAGCCAGCAGTGGCCAGCAGGGCTCCTGACCCAGTGGCCCCAAAACATGAGCCAGCAAGCCACTGGCAGCCAGCCCTCCACCGCTCCCCAGGAGCAGTCTGCCAGCTCCCAGGAGCCTGACAGGGGCTGGAGAAGGCGGGCGCCTTCCTGGTCCAGGGTGGAGCTCATGGACCTGATTCAGGTTTGGGGGGGGGGATGTCCACAACCTCCATGATCTCCACACTAGATGGAGGAACGTGACCGTCTATGGCAGGATAGCTGCCAGCCTGGCCACCAAAGGCCACATGCTTGGGGGGGGGGGGAGATGCCCCCAACATCCATGATCTCTGCACTAGATGGAGGAACGTGACCGTCTATGGCAGGATAGCTGCCAGCCTGGCCACCAAAGGCCACATGTGAACCCAGGGGCAGGTTTACATGAAAATCAAGTTGGTCCGGCGAGACCCCAAACCTGAGCCCTGAGCTTCCCCTCCCCCTTCTTCCCCTTGCTTCCCCCTTTCAAATCCCTCCTCCCAGGTTTCCCCCTCCCCTCTTCTACCCTCTCTCTTCCCCCTCCCATCTCCTTTTCCCAGTCTCCCCAGAGGTTCATCCCCCCTCCCAGTTTTGTTCAATAAACCCAGTTTCTATTTTTGAACATACGTGTCTTTTATTTGACATCAGGAGGGGGGCTAGGGAGGAGTCAGTGGAAGGACGCGAGGGAGGAATGGGGCACGAGCCCCCGGTGGGGAGGACTGGGGAGGCTCTGAGGGCTCCTCCCAGTGGATGCTCTTCTGCAGGGCCTTCTGGATCCTGACAGCCCCCCAATAGGCCCCCCGGATGGCAGCCTGCAGCAAGTGCAGCCGGGCTGATGGTAACGACCCCACGAGATGCACCGACGTGCCCAGGGGCAGCTCTGGCTCCATGTGGCCGAGTGCTGTGGTGTCCCGAGTGCGGGCACTCAGGGCACTCCAAGACAGGACTGCTTTGCTGTCCCTCATAGAGGTAGACAAGCAAGAGGGGAACCCTGAGCCAGCCCCGTGGTGGGGTCCCTGGTGGCTGCATCCTCAAAGCTGCTGATGCAACGCCGAGGAGAGGGGCGGCTGCTCACTCAGAGATAATTAGGCAGCGTTAACGAAGCACCAGGCTGCTCCAGGCAGGGAAGTGACTGGAGCCCTCAGCTGCTCTAGGCCAGGCCGGGCTGTGACTATCCATCAAATCCAGCCCAGCCAGGGACGGGGTCTGAGACCTGCCCAAGCCGGAATCAGCTCCAGAGCCGGGAAGGGCTTTAGTTCTGCATCCCTGTGACTGCCCCTCCCGCCCGCGACGGTGCAGGGTGCCCACCTGGGGAGCGGGTCCCCGTCTGCCAGGGGCTGCCAGAGACCCAGCCACGCCGGCAGACATGGCCAATGGACAAAGCAGAGATGGGGCCGGCCGGCCGGATATGGAGATGGGACGGGACTGAGGAACCGGGACTGATAAATGCCTCCCACATGGCGACACCTCCCCCACGACCGGCCCGGTGAGTTTGGCGATGAGATGGGGGGTTCACATGCCGGGTACATGGTGTGTGGAAGGGGAGCTCCGGGAGACAGCGCAGTGTCCTGCGATCACACACCCGGCACAGTGCAGGGTGTTCTGTTCCCCAGCCGGGGCACAACGGGCTTTTCGTGGAAATCATGGAACCGATCTCACTCGCTCTCGGTCCTTGGATGAGCTGACAAGTGCAGAACACTCAGGAAAAAAGCTGCAGAAACCTGCGGCCCAAACGTTTCCCCTTCTCCAGTGTCTGTGCCGTGTTCCCTTACGTGGCAGATGCCTCCCGGACACTTGGGTCCCCAGGAAACCCCCTTTCCCTTGATGGAATATAAGTGGGACGATATTGGCCCGCCTGTCATGAGGAATTGCGATAGAAGCCGGCGTGGGCACACCGACATTTTCCAAGAAGGGCTCAATGCTGACCCCTGTTCCAGTGCTGTTTTGTTCTGCCCCAAAGGGACACTGGAAGATGCTAGATCTTAGACAGAGGAGCTAAACAGGTCGCCCTCCTGAGCCATATCCCTTCTATTGGAAAGGATGGTTTGCGGCCCGCAGCCATCTGCCTGTTGTGATTCCACCCGAGAACATAGACAAGGCCACCGCTGTAAGAGCCTAGATCTGCTCTCCTAGCTCGGTGCCGTCTGTGTCTCCCTGCACCCGCTGCCGGCAGGGGCACAGCACAGACGCCGGCCAAGACAACAGCCCCACACAGCTTGCAGACCTAAATGCAAGACGGAGCAAAGGAGGAAGGGAAACTGAGGCACAGGGAGGGCCAGTGACAGGCCAAAGGTCACACAGCAGCTCTGTGCTTCAGGCAGTGCTGGTGCGGTAGGTTCATGTCCAGGGTCACAGCTGGAGGTATGAGCCCGCAGGAGTTCCTCTCAGTCACAGCCGTTTCATCCAGGCCCATCCTGAGCCTCCCCCAGATCTTCACAGGGGAAGTCAGATGCCGCTCCAGGGACTTTTCAGGAGCCAGGCCCAGAGACACCAGGTGGAAACTCACGGCCCCTCGGGAGGAGCTGGGACAGGTGCTGGGCATGGGGAACACCCACCGCATGAGAGGTTGGTGCGGGAATCCAGGCTGTTCCATGTCTCACTCTGATCCCCACCCCTTCTGTGTCCTCTGCAGCCACCACACACTGAACCGAGAAAGAAAATGTCCAACGGAAGCACCGTGACCGAGTTCCTGCTCCGGGGGTTCTCTGACGTCCGGGAGCTGCAGGTTTTGCACTTTGTGGTGTTTCTAGTGATGTACCTGGCAACCTTGGTGGGGAACCTTCTCATCATCTCAGCCATCATCCTTAACCATCATCTTCACACCCCCATGTACTTCTTCCTGGCAAACCTGTCCATCCTGGACCTCGGCTCCGTCTCAGTCACCATCCCCAAATCCATGGTCAACTCCCTCCTGGACACCAGGTCCATTTCCTACCTGGCCTGTGTCGCCCAAGTCTTTCTCTTTGTCGACT